ACAAATTAAATATGTTTTCACTCCTCGTGATCTATTTTCCCCTTGGCTGCTCTAGTTCGGGAATTCGTGTTCGGACTCACCCTCCTGCCCAATGTTCGAGCTCCGACCAGAGAGTATTTAATTATAGAGAGCGGAAACGAAGCCTCTTTTCGCGTATCCAGGTCACCAGCTGATCGTGAAACGAGGCGCGGTAAACAAAGCTAATAGCGGCTGTCGGCAGTCGCAAGTCACCCGCAAGTGTATGTGGTGTTCTGCGACAGTCTGCGTCCGTGCCGATTCAAGATCGCACAATTACCAGACCTAGCATTCTTTAGCTTTCTAAAGGACCCTGAAATGTAAGAATTTGCGCATGTACTTTTTCATTAACCTTATTTAATATCGTTTTTCTCATGTGTAGATCTAGGCTTATCTAGGCCTAACTAGATCTAAATATCTAGATCTAGATCTAGATCTAGTCTAGATCTAGATCTAAAATACCTAGACTCTAGACCTAGAATCCTAGAGATATAGATAATAATATAGATCTAGATCTAGATTAAATAATAGATTGTAGATCTAGTATCAGTGTCCAGGTCCTAATTAGAACTAGAATCTAGATCTAGAAGGGCCTAATGTAGTGGGCCTAGTGGGTCTACTAGGACCAGATCTAGATCTAGATCTATCCTTGGGCTAGGCTTTGCATGGCCCCCCACCTGGGCAAAATTAAAAATTCCTACCAAACTGAAGAAGTTTAGTGTGCCCCGCCTATTCATGTGAGACCTATGCTGTCGCAGGCGCAGTAAAGTAAAGCGCTTACCCCCCCCCCCCCCCCTTTTCCAAAAAAGAAAAGAAAAGAAAACACGCTTTAAAAAATGTTTCAAGTGATCTGAAAAAATTTTTTGGGATCACCCAGTATTGATTTCCCCTTTAATTCTTCATCAGTTTGAGGGTGTGGGGCATTGAAAATTCACTGATAAGTTCCATACATTTTTAAAAGTTAAAAATTACATTATTATCACACTCACACTGTAGACCTGGAGAATGCATACGTAGGCTATGTACCGTACCGTGGTGCTTCGACTCCCTGACTAGATAGAGCAGTGAAACATATTTAGTATTTAATTCTTTTAAAAATTGAAGCTTCTCATCAGAATTAAACCAATCCAAATATGCCAGGCAAGATTCAAGTTTATTGTATGAAAACTAGACTGTATCCTAGATTAGAGTAGTCCACCTAAGAAAAGGCACTTGTTTTCAAATGCCTTCCGTCTTAATTATTATCTTTTTAAAATCTTTTATTTAATTAGTTTATTTACTTTTTTTTTTATTTATTTATCAGTTGCGAGCGCCATAAAACCTCTACTAAAACTAAAATAAACCCTTTTTTAGGGGGGGGGGGGGGGGGGTTAGATGTGGGATGAATGTCATTTAAATATCCAAAAAAGATTTTATTAATTTTAAAATCTCCAGTAGATGTACTCATTCAAAACTGTTAATCAATCAAGCACTTTTCTCTTTTATGAAATGAAACTAAAGGAGTAGACCTAGATCTATATTCTATGTGGATTTATGAATTTTGCAACATTTAACTGCACACGTGAGAGTATGGGCCACCACAGTGTATTATTTATTGTGAGCACCGGTCTATAGTATAGGCCTACCTGTAAAACTCTGTGTTACAATCTAAGTTTTTCACACTCCTACCAAAAAATTAGAATATATTTCTGATGTAAAAAAATTATTAAATGGGTAATGAATTATCATCGGAAGGCTGACTTTACTTTGGTTTTCAAGATAGCTAGTCACCTATACGTGTACCATGGAAATGCATTGTCACAATTGTGCGCTGAGCAATTTGAACTGTATGTACTGCCTTTGGAAATTTGCATATTGAACAATTCTAGTGCTGAATGCTGTGCCCATGCTGTTTACTGTTCCAAACCCTCCAAAATAAATAATTATTGTTCCCTTCAGGCATCTAAGAAGACAATGTCCTGCTGTAATAGATCTACTACGGAATACATGTAACAAAATTAAAGAGACAAAGAAATTACAAAGTTTACTCAATGAAGTAAGGAAGTGCTAGCTTGACCCTGTCTGGGCCACCCTTGAAGTTTGTAATGTCCCAAATTTATGTGCCTGACAGAAGTATGGACATAAGAATCAGCAAGAGACAATGCATAAGGCAAAGCAGTCTAAGATTAGTAAGAAAGACTGTCACATTCACCCACTTGTAAGAGCCAGTTTCAGTAAAGTGCTATTAATCCATGAAAGATGCGTAACGTGTTCATGTTATATAATATTTATTATATAGGCCTCTGGTGGGTTCGATCTGTCGCATTATATTCCTGTTCTTATCCAATGCCTATAGCCTACACAAAACGAAATCTGTTTTCTGTTTCTACAGTTTGTTGCCTTTCCTCATCATTGCCTATAGGCCTATAGATCTATATATGCTATTGCATGCTCTCTTTCTTTTCTCGCCAACTCTTCCCAACCCACAGTACAGACCCCATGCATGGCTAATAATATGTAACTAATTAGTAAAATAAGTAAAAATGTATGAACCTTTATTAGGCTATCTTAAATTAAACTGCTTATGTTGTAAGCTAGATCAAAGTTATATTTAGGCTAAGGCAGGCATATTTTTTATTATGCTGGAAGCCTATAGATCTAGATCTAGATGCCTTTTTTTCTTATGTAACTACTGACACTGGCTAGATTAAATCTCTCGAATCTAGATCTAGATAATCTAGATGTAGATGTAGATCTAGATCTAGTTTTCGGTCTACGTTATCAAGACATGTATTGGTTTTATGCTAGATCAACATTATTTTATAACTAGGCCTAGATCTAGAATTCAATTTTTAAATATGTTGTCCTGTTTTCTTCCACATGTGTAAATT